CTACAACCGCGAAATGTGTCACTATATTGTAGAAAAATTTTCCGATGACTTTTTCCGCCGTCCCCGTGACCCGGCCAGAGTAACCCCGACCAACACCAGTTCACCACCTCCATCTACCAGTCCACCCTCCCAACCCCAAAACCCCTTGCCTTGCACTATCCCTCCGCCCCCAGTGGCCCCAATAACCTAGTTATCACTTCCCTATAGCCCCTGCCCAGGCCTTCCAACCACTTCCCCTACCCCTGCACTAACCACGCCCAAGTTTGCAGCCCCCTGCAACATCCCTTTGTAGCTCCACCGACATTGTTTCACAGCCCACAAAGTTGAAATCAGGTTAGCCACCAAAATTGACGTCAGATTAGCCACTAAAATTGACACAAAATCAGCCACTAAATCGCTGCCAGTTCTATCCCAGCGCTCAAAGTCGCCACCGCCGGATCTGCACAGTCTCCGTTGTCCATTGCAGCGTGCGTCCTTGTTGTCTGCCAACCGTCGCCGACGGATTTGCGAAGCCACTGGTTTAGAACCTCGTTTTCGTCGTAGATGCGGAAATTCGAGAACGGTGGCGGTGACGGAGCGGGTGTGGCGGTCGAAGGTGAGAATAGAGGTGTTGTGTGCGGGATGTGGAAGGATGAGGAGATGGTAAGTGTTGTTTTCTACATCGGCTAAGGAGTAAGGAGAACAGTGAACCGAAACGGAAATGTGGAAGAGAGAGGCGGAAGTTAACTCAGTTTTTTGTAAAGTTTAAAATCGGTCATACTTTGATCGATCAAAACTTTGGAAGTAACATATTTGCCATTTATTTATTAATAATTATGTATGATACCTCGTATGACACAAATATTACGTGGAGTTTAAGCATGTTGAAGAATCGGCGGTCGGAGTTTTTGAAAGCCGATATTTATTTAGGAGATTCAAGTGTTAAATCTAAGATTCAATAGCTATAATAATTTTTCTTTCATTTTTCAGTTACTTTTTTGAAAATAATGTTCCAAGGAATCACAAAAAATTAACTCAAAACTCATTTATTTTTACACTAAAATGTTTGAGATTTTTTAACTATAATTGTTCCATTACTAAAAAGTTAATGCTTTGTGTTATGTTTATTGAGAATCTCTTTATTAAGATGTTAAATTTTCATATGTATTATTTAATTCAGTTTGTTTTTTTGGAAGAATTTGGCTTAAATTGAAATCTCAACATTTAGATGATGGGTAATCCGACAAATAGAATCCTGACAACCGATGTCCCGTGAACCAGACTCAGAGTTAATCACCTCAACGGAAGCAATATAACTCGATGATCCATTAATGGGCACAAATGAACCAAAAACGGTTACCCCAATTCCGATGTCACCCACATCCAAATCCAATGTCTTACAAACAGGAAAAACAACAGCTAAACAAAATAAAAAAACAAACGGAAATATCTGAGCAGTAATAAAAGCTAAAATAAAAAATAATATGTTGCCTCCCGATCTGCTTGCTCTGCACCCTCATCAAGATTCCTTGCTTCTGACTCTGAATTCTCTTAGGCGGGCCTACTGCTCGAAGCCCGCCTCCTCCCCGTTTTTTGTCCCATCCAGTGCCATACTATCCCTCCCTTGCAGTTTATCTCCCTGTGTCTCCCATAGCCTCTTGCGCTTCTGTTCTCCTGTTGCTTCTTCCTTATTCTCGCCTCCTACGCCCTTTGTTATACTCTGTTATGACTCTGCCCCCGATTCTTTTCTCTCGTCTCTCATCCTATCCTCTGATTTAGCCCCCTCCCCGTACCTATGTAGGACTCGTCTTCCCTCCACTACCTGCTCTAAGATGAACCCCAAACTTTTTCTCCAAAACTAGATCTTCTTCGTAGTTCAAGTGACATAATTTGTCCGTGTGTCCAATTAATCCACAAAAAATAGAAGTTTGGCAACTTCTCATATTTAAAATCTACCCAGTAACTTTTGCCATCCTTCTTCAGATTAGTACCTCTTTTCAGTACTTTCTCCACATTCATACGAACTCGTATTCTCATATAGGCCTCCCACTTATCACTATTCTGATTATCATCGTATTTTATAAACTTTCGTATAAGATTTCCAACTCTTCGGGCCGTACCTAAATTAACCAGACTATAAGGCACATTATGAACCTGAACCCAGAAGTTTGCCTCATTCAGGACAATTTTGTGAGGGATATCATCAGGTTTAACCTCTTTTAATAGCAATGAATTTCTCTCAAATTGTAATGGTACTCCATCTAGAACACGATTCATATCTAAACGGTGATAAAATGTAAAGAGATGCATTTACTCACCGACTTCTTTAACTGATAGACCTTTACCCGGTCTCCATAGCGACGCTAACATCTCCTTGATCGCCGGGAATCGGATCTTTCGGTCCTTCAGCAGAACCCTGACCACTGGGAAGCCCGCCCTACTATCCTCCTTCAGCTCCTCGCCCGCCTCCGTATCGTCGAGGTCCAGGTCTTCCTCCTCCTCTGCCAAAACCATCTGTCTGTACTTGTTCACCACGCTTTCCATGCAGGCGACCCTTCTCCCTCTTTCTCTCGGTAAAATCATTGGCCGATTTTATTCCCAATGCGATGCAGTCCAGCGAACCTACTCGATGGATGTATCAAAAATCCCAAAAAAGTAGAGCAACGACGCTTCGAGAAACGAAGCTCGTAAATGAAATCTCGCTTCACACGGCCTCCTGGCGCAAGCCTGGTGAGAAGCCGGCGGCGGCTGTATGACCTAGGCGTTACCGGTGGGTAACCCTAGAGAGAGATTCTGGAACAAATATATTATTTAATTCAGTTTTAAAATCCTTTTTCACTTTCAATCCTGATTATAATACTACAATATTATTATAATACTATAGTATTCGTGTGTTAATTTCTTATTTATGTGCTTTGTAGTTTTTATCATGGCAGTGGTGTATATTTGATGTTTACTCCTAAGAGCGTATGTCCCTTTCACTAATATTGTCTCTAATAAAATTTGATAAAGTTTGTGTAATTCCAAATCATTCTTACTTTATTGTGATTTTGTCAATTTAATATCAAGCACACAAATTCACGTTTCTTAATGTTAGTGTGATGGATGTAATAGTTTTTTTACATATGTAAAAACAATTACTCATTTCAACTGTATCTCACAAAATATATATATGTTCATTAATTTCTTTCACGTTAAACCGTTAAACATAAAAATTGTAAATTAGGAACATATATATTACTATATATTACATATGTAATTAATGTTCCAAAAAGGCGTGTGAGACTTAGAATCCTTGTACAGCCCCAAAGCCTCAAGTATTTAGAAACCTAATTAATTTACTAATGAAAAACAAGATCGGCTATGGTCAAAAGGGACATTTCTAAACTGAATCGAAAGAAGTGAACTCTCAAATAATGTTCTTGTTTTAATTCACTATAGCGAGAACTTCTATACATACATACAATTACTATAACATACACAACGGTTACTTACACTCCATATTCAGTACAGGTCAATGCAATACATGGATTCTCACCTGAACAATTTCTTACGAGTCCATTCATTTGTTCAACTTTTTAATGAAGTAATTAATTTATTGTTATATTTATTTGTCTCTTTTACACTATTGGCAATCACATTTCACATTTCAGACTTAATTCAATTTTTTTGGGATGTACTATCACTTTTATGAGATTAAAATTTGAAATGTTCAACGAGGTGAAGGTAGTGTGACAAAAGAATAGCCAGTCCAATCTCTTTTCAACTGGAAGCCCGGAAATCTAGAAGTAATTGTGGGATTGTGAATAAAATTACCATATTCCTTAACGAGGAATTCTACATTCAGCCACAAAATTACTATATACATTCATATAATTAAGGGAAAAGGGTCAAATAGGCACTCGAACTTACATAAAAAGGTCAAATAAGCCCTTATATAGGAGACTCTGTCCGGTCGTCGCCATTTGGGGCAGTTCCCGTTGGTTTTTTTTATGAAAGTTTTTGAGCATCTTATTCACCAAGTCTAGTTTACGCATACCAAATTTCAAGTAACAATTAAATCGCAAAGGCATTCAAATGAATTCTTGAAGATAACTGTGCTTTTAACTGCGTAGTTATCTTCAAGAATTCATTTGAATGCCTTCCCGATTGAAGTCTTAGATGGAATTTGGTATGAGTAAACTAGACTAAATGAATAAGATGCTCAAAAATTTCAACAAAAAATTCCACCGGGAACCGCCCCAAATGGCGACGGCCGGACAGAACCTCCTATATAATGGATTATTTGACCTTTTTATGCAAGTTCGAGGGCCTATCCGACCCTTTTCCCTATAATTAAATTTTAATAAAAAAATTTATTTCAAATGTCTAATTTACCCAAATGTTTAACACGGGACACACATCATCGCTGCCTCAATCAATCTTAGCCGTAATGATAAAACCATCGCTGCCTCAAAAATAGCTGATGCGGTAAAGATGTTTGCTGTGCTTATATTTCCAGAAATTGTCACTATCTGAACCGCCAATCCAATGAAACCACCCATCCTTCCAGAATTGCCACTTCCGTTTGCTTCTTCCCTTATCTTAATTTCTTTGTCCCAATTCTCAAAATCAGTTCTCTTTCGACCAAGGGCATTTTGCAATGCTTTTCTGGCTTGCTACGAGGAGGAAGACGGTAAACCAGCAAGGTCAGTCTAAATCCAGTGACTAAGGGGAGGAAGACGAAGGAATGGAGGAAAACGAGTGTCCTTATGTCGAATCGATGTTCAATGATGGTTGTATTTTGTTTAGGGGCAAAAGAGATATTTACAAATTAATTATTATTGAATTAACTTAATCGTGTGGCTGTGTTTAGCCATTTTATGGCTGCAAATAGAACGGCCTTCCTTAACCTAGACAAAGCCTTTTCAATCTCATTTTATTTCAACTTAAAAGAATTGACCCAGCCCAGCCGAGCCCAGCCCAGCCCATCAACCAACCCAAATTCTAAGCCACAAAAGTTCTCCTGTTCGCGGGTTTAGCGAATAAATTGGCCTACTCCGTTCATCCAATACAAAACTTTCAGAGCTAAAAAAACGCAGTCATAGAAGGTACAGCGCAGAGCATAGCAATGACGAACGCGGAGGTAGAGGCGGTGGATTTCGAACCGGAAGATGACGACCTGATGGACGAGGACGTCGATGGTACTTCCCCTAGGGCTCTAATTCCTAGGATCAAATCCGCTATCGGGGACTCCTCCGCTCCCAAGAAAACAAAGGGCCGTGGCTTCCGCGAAGAGGCTGCTGAGGCCGACCGTAATGCGCGTCTATCTGCTCGATTTGACTCTCTTGTTTCGGATGGCGGCCCTGGTCCCGAAAGATGTCAGTTCCCCCTCTCTCTCCCCCGCTCTAAATTTTGCAATTGTACGAATGGAATTCCAGTCTCCAGGGTTTTAGATTGAGTAAATGCGTGCTAAAAATGGGTTACTAAATAGTTTGACAATAGCTAACAGTAATGAGGTAAAAGTAATGCTATGAATGATTTGCGGTGGTTTGGTAGATATTTAACCTGTAAAGTGTACTGAATGTTCCAGCAAAGTTTGAGTTTCGATTTAGTTTTTAGACTGAACACTTGGGAAATATGCAATTTTAAATTCAATTTTTGTACTGAATATTCGGGCATAGATTAAATTCTGATCTTTATGATTTCAACATTGTCACATTGAGAAACGTGCTATTATGATAAAAAAGAATCGGGAGTAAGTCTAAAAGAGTGATCCTTCAGCTCCTTCGAGGTAGTCAAACACTCAAACCAGTCATAGTGATGACTGATGAGAGCAGGGTTCTTGCTAGCCTGCTAGGTCAAGTGTGAGCCATGTGGCTACTGGCTATGCCAAGTGTGTATGTTTATTGGTCTATTCTACGAGTAAATGAGTAATGATATGGGCAGGGATGTGATAATGGATTGATAAGAATAGCCTCTGGGTGAGTGTGTGAATGTGGGATAATTTTAACTCACCCTCAATCATTCTCCAACCCATTTTCTACCCAAATCATTGCTCTTATTCTATTGTGATATTGTGTCACATTACTGCATATCTAGGGGTTATTTTTGGCTATTCCATGTGGTTTTGTGTATGTAATTACCCAAAACCAAGCAATTTGCTGGAGAGTATGTACCACATTAGCTGAATGGACCATAAACCAAATATATAAGAACTAGGGCTCTTCCACCTGATAGGCTATGATCTTTTAGGAGTATCCCAAATTCGTATATGTTGGTTTGTTATTTTATGCTCCGTTCTCCAATAGTTGTCAACTATTCCTTTTTGTGAGGTTTTTTATTATTTGACCCATTTCCATATTTGAAAACAATTACCCACCTTTTCATATTCTCTTTTCTACTCTTTCATTTTCTTCTCCATCTCTTCCCTACCATTTCAACACATTAATTGAAACAAAGGTAATGACTAGAAATAGCAGAAATTTGTGACAAATAAGTCATCTATAACCTCTGCTAATCTCCCAAATAGAAACCGTTCTCAGCTTATTGATCATGAACATTAGATAAGTGATCGTCTTCTCACTCCAGAAAAGTATTGTAGCATGCGATGTTATGGTTTTATGTTGAACTTTGGCATTTTGGGGATCAGTAAATTTAGGTTGGGAAAAGGGTCAAATAAGCCGTTCTGCTATTCTCAATACATCACTTAAGCCCATGACTAAAAAAAGCATCATATAAGTACACTTACTTTCAAAAATTGATCAATTTGGTCATTTCTTCAGTTTTTGATCTATAATAGCAGGTTTTTTATATAACAAAACTCTAATAAATTTATTAAAATTTGAAGAATATAAATAAAAACAGTGAAATTTTCAGAATGTCAAAGTCAGTATTTTTGTAAATTTGAAATTATTTGTATATTCTACATCTATGTCAAAGGTTTTTACATTTTATATTTTATACTATCAGTATTTTTTTACATCTTCACTCTTTTTTCAGTTTTTTGGTTTGTTACTTTTTTATTTTAACATTTCTGAATTATTTATCTATTTTTACATTTATGCCACTACATATTTTTTATATTATTATTACATTATTTTTCAAAATTAAATGAATTTTATAAGATTTATCAATAGTCTTAAATTTTTCAAATAACCTGGCTATTGCAGGTCAAAATGGCTTGATTTGATTGTATCTAAAAAGTATGTGTTCTTATATGATGATTTTTTAGTAGACGGACTTAAGTGATGGATTGGAAGTAATAGAAGGGTCTGTTTGACCCTTTTCCCATTTAAGTTTCATGTTTGGATCAAAGAAACCTGTCAAATATTTCGTTGTACAAATGTACAATTAATTCAAACATGAGTGCCGCTGCTCCTTAGTCCTTACTGGCTGGTGTAGAAGAATTTGAAGTTCAAACTACAATGATTGAAAGCATTCTCCTCTTATTTTGAGGCTTCAAGATGCAAGTTTCAGCATTCTGCATAAAATTTGAAACTTTAAGGCATTTATAGTCTTATTTGGATGTTAAGAAGGCAACATAAATGATATAGGAATGATAGAGATAGTTTTTAATGACTCTACTGTGCTATATTTGCTAAGAGACTTTGTCCTTCTTCCTTCAGCCTTTATGATATTTTGATTGCATATAAATTAAATTTTGGAAGTATAATGTTGACATCAGGCTGATGTCTTCATTTGTTTGCTCAAACTGGAAGCCAACTGTTACTTCACTGATTTCTATGTGGGATTTGAGCATGAGGCACATTCAAAGTATTGGTACAACTGGTTTGGAACTTCAAAAGAAATTTAACATGATGAAGAAGATCATAAATACATGATTTTTTATGAATAATTAAGGGGCGGTGTTCGAGACTGAAGTTTTTTTCTAGTCTGGTCTTTTCAAGTTTGGTCTACCGTAGTTTGGCCTGTTATGTGTATTTTACAATTGTCGAAGTCTGGTATGGTCTGGGATTGAAACCAGACCAATTAAAAACATCCCAAGTATTGGAAATAAAATTGACGTTGTATATTTATCAACTTTTTAGTAATTAGTGATAAATAAAAGTGGTTCCAGCATAGAAAACGGGTTTAAACTTTATAGGACAACTAAAGTCTGAAGAGAGAAAGGTTTGCACGCAATATGGCACAAAAGATAGGAGAGTGGAATCAAATCTAGGCTAAGCAGTAAAGTGGAAGACAGAGCAAAAAACCAAACTAGCTTGTTATATCACCCTTTTGGAGCTGTTCCAGTTTTTTATTTTGTTCTTATCCTTTTGGAGTTGTCAGTTTATTGTCGACTGGGAGTGCTGAATGCTCATGTATTTGGGTTCAATAATATTTATATTAATAATGGTAAATAAAGTGTTTAACAGTGCTAGATTGGTGCAGCCATTGAAGGATGGATTATTTTGGTAACTGGAGTTCATGAAGAGGCCCAAGAAGACGATATCCTTAACTCTTTTGGTGAGTTTGGAGACATTAAGAATTTGCATCTGAATCTGGATCGCCGCACTGGGTTTGTAAAGGTGATTATATTAGCATCATCATCATAAGACTCGACAATGAAAATATTGCACTTTTGTAAAGTGTCAAGCCCTTTGTTTACTGGCTGGTTCCAAAGCATGGACATAAGCTACGGAGTACTATAGTAATTAGCAGTTCCGGACATTTAATTTTCCTTCTGTTGTTTTATTGAATAGCTTGCTTATGTTTCCCTATAGGGCTATGCGCTGGTTGAATATGAAAACTTTGAAGAGGCACAAAAAGCTATTAACGAGCTAGATGGAACTCAACTGCTCACTCAAACCATTAATGTTGATTGGGCATTTAGCAGAGGCCCGTTCAAGAGAAGGAATAATAGGAGGTATGTTGTGAAAGGCTCCATGGTTTAGTTATAACCTGAATGTGTGAATAGCAGTGATATAACCATTATTGTTTTTTATAGCAATCTTCAAATAATACCCACTCCATCTCCAATTGTTTGCCAACTTTGTCCAGATACAAGGTTTAGAGTGTGAAAGTATATGGTTGAGATTTACATAATATAGAGAAATATTGTGAATCATGGGCGGGAAAAAGAAGTGATGTAGATAATTTGGGGACAAAGGGAGTCATCTAAAGAATATGCATGTCATTGTTATGTTAGGTTTATCCTTTGTTTTTAAAATATGGATATACTAGTAAATGATTATATGAAGTATATATAGTATACAAAGTGAATCATTGGCATGAATGGAAAAGTTTGAGTTATTGTTAATATCTCAAGTATAGATACATTTGCTTTGCATAGCCAGTAGTCTGATGGGATGCCATAATGGACAACTGCAATTCTTTATTGAAATCGTGAAAGACAACTACCATTTGGATTTTGATTTTTTATCCCTTCACAATCTGAGCAAATGTGGAGATGATCTTGACCATTTATTGGCTAAGCCCCTAATTTGTTTAAGTAACGCATTCTTTAAGGACTTGTATCATATCAATGGACCATATGGTGTTACAATTTGTTCAAATGATGCACAGAGAGGGACTTCGTGATGATATTGATCCTTTACATGCAGTTGTTTAATACAGTAAAACTAATAAACCTGTTTAGTCAACCCTGGAAGGATCAAGTGTAAGTGATTCATTCATATTTGATGCCTATGCAGATCACCTCGAGGTCATCGTTCAAGAAGTCCCCGGAGGAGATACTAGCTATGTGTGTGTGCGTTTGCGTGTTTCTTTTCTGAAGTCATTGTGACTCTTGTTTGAGAATATATTGACTTTACCCTCAAGGAATGCAGGTTGATGTTATGTACACTACTATTCTAGTACGTTTGAGTGACTGGTTATTTGCTAGGCGTCTGCTGTACTGTCTTGATTTTTCTTGCTCTGTATTTTAATTAATGCATAATGGCACCTGTAAGGCTGTAATGTCCAGTATTGACCCTTCCAAGAACAAGGTGGCTGTTTTGCCGAAGTTGGGATATCAATCTCGGAAATTATCCAAGAAATGGTGGCTAGAATCTTTGTTGCATCTACAAATGCAAATATGCAATGCTCTAGTTAAAAAATACTTCCTCCGTTCCATAAAAGTTGCAACACTGGAATTTATGCACTATTCACACACCTTACTTTGAGTACGATTTTCTAATAATATATATAATAAGACTATTATGTATAAAATATTAATAACTTTGTATTAATGTAAATTTCCAATATATTAACTTTTTTTAATGTTTACTAATACGTAAATAAATATAATTACAGTCAAAGTTGCACGTTGGCAAACGTGAAAGTCAAACTGTTGCAACTTTTATTGAACGGAGGATAGTATTCTTTTCCAATCTTGTAATTTGTAAAGGTGCCACAACACCATTTGAGTGGATCTAACCCTCAATATACAAATATGGGTGGACTCAGGCCGGGTCGGGCCTAGGCCCGGGTGGGCCGCCGGTTCAGAATAGTTGGGCCCGGGACCGGCCTGGGTAGCCAGCGGGTCCGGTCTGGGCCTCGGGCCACTTCCTATATTTTTTTCTTCTAATTAATCCCCTAATACCTCCCCCCCCCCCCTCACCACCCCAAATGGCCCAAAACACCTAGCCCAACCCTGAAAAATAAAAAAAAATTGAAAAAATAAAAAATAAAAGGCCCGGAATTAGGGGTGGACTCGGGCCGGGCCAACCGGCCCGGAACCGGACCGGCCCGCCACCGTGCGGGCCCGGACCGGCCCGGGAACCGGTTCGTTGGGCGGTTCGGGCCACCCGGCCCGGTGGATTCTCGGTTCGGGCTCGGGCCCTTCAAAAGGTGAACCGGCCCGGCTGGTTCGGGCCCGGGCCGGGCCAATTTTAATTTTTTTTTGAATTTTTTTTGAGTTTTTGGGTTGGGCTGGTTATTTTGGGCCATTTGAGGTGGTTAGGGTTGGTTTGGGGGTGAGGGGGAAGGGTGGGGGTTAACTAGGAAAAGCCCCCCAAAAAAAAAAAAAAAATACCCGAGGCCCGGCCCGGCCCGGACCCGGGGTTTACCCGGGCCGGTTCCGGGCCTCCCCTTCTTGAACCGAGGCCCGGCCGGGCCCAGGCCCGAACCGGGCTCGAACCGGCCCGAGTCCACTCCTACCCGGAATCGGGTCTGGCCCGGCTGGGCCGGTTCATCATTTGGCGGACCCGAGCCCGCACCGTAAAACCACCGGGCCGGGCCTACTCGGACCGGTCTCTGACTGAGCCACCGGGCCGGGCCGGAATAGTACTGGTCTCGGGCCGGTTCTGGGTTGGGCCACCTGGCTCGAGTCCACCTCTATATACAAATATGATTTCCCAAAAGTTATTCCAACAAATCAAAATTATTGTTATTTATTCTCTTGATTTTTTTTTGAGGCTATTACACCGATTTTCATCTCAGAGGATGAGAGGATACATATTTCCCTCCCTTGAAAGTAGGGGTGGACCCAACCGGTTTGACCCTGCCCGCTACTGTGCGGGACTGGACTGGCCCGGTTGGTGCTAATTGGGCCCGGACTTTTACCTGGTTGGGGCGGGTTGGGCTCGGGCCACATTTTTCTTGAATTGGCCCGGGCTTTTTTTTCAATTTTTTTTTGTTTTTCTTGGTTAAGGTTGGATGTTTTTTTTGCCGGGGGTGGGGGGTGGGTGGGGTGGGGGGGGGGGGGGGGTTGGGGGTTAATTATAAAGCAAAAAAAAACATAGAATCGGAACCGGTTTATACCCGGGCCGGTTCGGGTTCAACCTTTCCCAAAAAAAAAGCCCGCTCGGGCCCAAGCCCAGTCTGGAACCTGCCCAGCCCAGGTCCACCCCTACTTGAAAGTAGAGATTTTTACTGATAAAAATAAAAGATTACATGCTCTAACGAAGAAAGTAAACAAATGATAACGAGATTATTCACCCAAAGCTAAAGAAGAAAATGTAAATGCTAAGTAATCGTCTAAGAAACGAGTTATCAAAATCAGAGATCCATCTAGTTCCCAGATACCTTAGAGGATACATGTGAATCGATTGAAATATTATTAAGCTTGGCATGCATTGATAGTTTGACTAACGTAATATTTGTAGATGTTTCTTTTGCCAGTAAAGTAAATAGGGGTGGATTCAGCTGGTTCGGATCCGGGTCTGAGTCGGGCCTAGGCCCAGGCGGGCCGGCGATTCTGAATAGGTGGACCTGAGACCGAGCCGGGTCCGGGCCGGCCGAGCTTCGGGCTTGGTTAATTTTTTTTTGCTTACCTACCTATCTCTGACCCCCCTCACCCCCAACCCCTCCTAAACATCAAGCCCAACTTGGGTGGAGCCCAAAACATGAAAAAAAACCAAAAAAAAAATCAATTTGGCCTGAACCGGGCCCGGGCCTCCTTTTTACCAACCCGAGCCCGCCCCGTTTTTACGAAATAACCGGGCCTTAGACCGGTTTTGGGCCCGAAGAACCGGGCCGGACCTGTCCCGCACAGTAGCGGGCCGGGCCAATTCCCGAGCCGGGTGGCCCGAACCGAGTCCAATACTAAAAGTAAATTTCTAAGTTCCGCCTCTGATATTTCAATCGTGGACAAAGGCTTCCTCACTATTCAATAAACACTTACTCCCTCCATCCCGCTAGAAGGTTCCCACTTTCCTGTTTTGGACGTCCCGTTAGAAGGTTCTCATTTCCATTTTAGGAAATAATTAACAATCATAAGTGACAAGTTAATCATTAAATATTAAAATCAATACATTTATAACATCACAGTTATCAATACTAACTACATTATAATATATACCTATTAAAATTATTTCTCAAAATATACTCGAAGTACTTTATTTAATTATTGTCTAAATAACCATGCCGTTTTGCTATGAGAATCTTCCAACGGGATGGAGGGAGTACAATTTTCGGACCATGTTTTTTGACACGTGTACTTGCGTACATATTCAATCTGTGTCAAAAACTTCAAAAAGTATAACAAAACGTCATTTCTGCTAAAATGTTTCTCACCCTACATTTTCAATTGATGTGCCGAAATTTAAAAAATATAATGAAACTAATCACATAAAAGTAAAATACAAGAAAACTAATTGAAATGGTGTCATTTTTACTAATAAAACAAATCAAAACGATGACATTTTAGGCAAAGAGTTTTGAGACATTTCTGAACTTTTTTAAAACTAAACCTTTGATCCATTTGAGAAGAGACTATTTTGGTACATGTTTCCTTGTAAAATTGAGACAATATCCAGACTCCCCAAATCAGTCTGGTAGACTGAGACCCAGTTATTCATTTGTACCTCACTGGGATAAATACCAGGCTGTATTTGTAAGAATGTGTATTCTTTTAAAAGCTATACCATAACATCCCCAAATCAGTCTGGTAGACTGAGACCTAGTTAGCCGGTGAAAAGGACACACATAGCCCCGTTTAACAGATTTAGTGTGAAGCAAATACAGACTTCATGGCCTACTAGTGACAATCATGGGCATTCCTAAAAATCGTTTACAAGTACAAATTAATAATGTGCCATATAGAAAACAACATATAATCCCTATACCATGGAAACCATATACCAGGGTAGAAACACTAAGGGCTGTTGGCCACAGATTAATGTCTCTAGCCATGCAGAAGATCCATAAAGCAAATATACTACAAAGTGCCAATTAGGTGTGCACTTGTCTATCGTTTTCCTTGATGAGCTCTTCAAGTTCATCAATAATCGCGTCGTAGCAGAAAAGATATTGTTCCTGAAAACCAACACAATCATCAAACTTTATGTACAACACCAGATTTTCTCAAACGCCAGCAAATGACATTTGTGAGAGTGTTGTTCAACAGCCAAAACAGAGAGTAGAAAAAAAAAAAAATTGAAATTAACACACAACTATAAACAATTATGTGAATTCATACTCAAAGAATGCTTGACTATATTCATCCCCCGCCCCGGCCTATGCTAAAGAATTTAAATTGGCTAAAACTAAAAATAATGATGAGAATAGAGCTCACGGCTTTTAGTTGGACAAAAACAGGACCAAAACTTATTCAGGACAAATACAACATTACCCCAGTGCCGCAAAGGCTCCAACCTACGGTGGGGTAAGGGGGATCGGATGCATGCAGTCTTACCCCTCTACTGAAGCACATAGAGACTGCTTCCGGATGACCCATGATGAAAATCGCGTCGAAAATTGCATGGACTGAGTGTTGCTTCATAACAGAGAAGCACACACAGTTTAGTGAACCATTTTGCTTTATTTCATCATATTCCCAAACCAAAAAATAGCGAGTATTTGGCTCCATTGGAAATGATGGAACTTATTTAGGACAAATAAGTAAGTAAAATTAAAATTATAAGTCTAAAATGCCCATTACAACAATCTACCCCCATCAACGCTTTCTTCCCTCGCCAAGCTGCTTCATCTTTGGGCCAAGCGAGGAACACCCAGCTCCACCGGTGTGACAGCAGACTAAGGCGATTCACACTAAAGGAGATGACTCCATACCGGTGAAGGCGACCAGTGAGAGCGACAACCAATCGGCTCTGCTTCTGCTTCATCCTCTTCTTTGTTGCTCGACGATAATGCACATTACAGTAATCTCCCCATCAAAGTTTTCTTCCCTCGCCAAGCTTCTTCGGGCCAAGCGAGGAACACTAGTTCCACCGATGCGACAGCAGACGGAGGCAATTCACACCAGAGGAGGCGACTCCATACCAGCAAAGTTGCCCAGTGACAACAACCAATCGGCTCTTCTTTATCCTCTTCTTTGCTGCTCCTCGATGTTTGCCATTGGCCCATTGCCGATGCTATAATCGCCATCGGGGGCGACAGCCGATGGCTACAGACGAGAATGATCAAAGGGTGACTGGCTACGAGCAACGAACCAGATCTAGATCAAGAATGGCGGCGGCTAGGGTTGGGCCTGGGGAAGCGGCGATGGCTAGGACGTCCTGAACCTCATCATGCAGGTAGGATCAATTCCGATCATCAATGCCAGACTATGGATGGTGAGGAGCAGCACGACCTGCGAGAAGTTCTTTCAGACCCCACTCTTTGCTACAGGTTTCATCATTTTAAACGTCTCGCTCGCCGGCTTCATCGGCACATGCTTCCGTCTCACGTGGGTCCTCTGGCTCCCGGCAAGGTGTACAAGAAGGACTGGCTGATGAACTACTCTGGAGGCTGAGAAGGTTACAGATCCTCATAATTGGATACCCATTAGGCAATGCAACTGAAAAAATAGCTCTCTATGGCTGGCATTGGTCACTACTACCGGCAGTCGTCAGTGTGTGACCAGGTGATCACTGGTCAGTGGTTGTCATTGTGTGATTAGGTGATCACTGGCCGGCAAATAGTCACTGGGACATTTGGTCATGGTCACTGAATAGTAGTCACTTTGATTCAAGGGGTAAAAAGTCACTTTAGTCTCTTTTTTGGATTTTTTTTTTGAAACCGGCCCTTAAAATCTTTTGGGATCAAGGCTTGGATGTTGTTATTGTTGTTTTGAAACTGACCCTATTTTAGTCCATAACATTTTTTAGTATTGTTTTTGAAAAAAACCTAAAAATATTCTTATATTATCCTGGTCTAAAACGTCTTTTATCCAACAGATTAGGTTCTAGTAACCATTCAAATTTTCTTAAACGTTCTCACCAAGTTCACTTAAAGCCAAATGGGACTACAGGACACGTGTGAATATATTCAAAACTGTGATGTTATTCTGTACACTGGAAAATGAATCTTCCTGCAACTGTAGATATGATGATATTCAGAACCATTGCAACCACATTAGCTCTTATCATCAGATAGAAACCCACATTAAACAATAACCCAACCATATTATTACAGGGAAAGAATAAACAGTAATATGAAAGCATTATACGTACCAATGTTTGAACCATCCCAATTCGTTGTGACCTAAAAACGGAGATGGTATTTACAAGATCTAAAGCGGACATATCCCCGAGTAGCACCTTTTGGATGGTGTTGTGAATTGTGCAATAGGTTCCAGTTCTACCAATACCTGCACTGTGACAAAATACATGTCAGGTAACGGGTTCCATTTGGGACTTTGGGTAATCTATCTTAATATAATAACAAAAGTTTTCTTGGCAAGCAAGTTCCCGCCAAAACAGGTGCCTTAATTCTCACGGTGCAGTAATTCTATTGGCATGGAGTCTTGTGATAGAATATTCTGGATAAAACATTTCTACGGTACATTTAATGTTTTGCAACTTTTCATATCCCAATGTTCTCATGATCTGATTTTTTTGTTTTTTAAATTGCTATCTGCGGTTGCAACTTTACGTTTCTCGAAGTTGTAATTCACACGGAAATGATTCTTTTTTTCGTATTGAGTTCCAGCGTCTTTTGGTTTTCATGTTCAAGTTCGTGGATGTCTATATATACCTTCTTGACTCCTTGAGTGACCGACAAGTGTGCTATGACTGTAGTTCTGATCGTTTTTCCAGATCTGTTATCTTGAGGTTGTTCTTAAAATGGAGGAATTGACAAATCTGCAATTCTATTTGAGAAGAGAAGTAGTTTGTGAGCCATGGGAAAGGTATGCAGTTCTTTTTGTCCGCTTCTATCTTGCATATGAAATTAAGGTTTTTATTACTCCGTAAAAATGATGGTTGTATAATTGATAAAAAATATGAGGATATTTAGAAAGAAATGAACTAATAATATAATGTAATTCAAGAAATATTCACCTCCCGTACAAGTTTTTTTTTTAATTTCATTGATGATCGCATTCCCGTTTGTCTAGAACAGCAGAGTCCCAGTAATCCCTTTAATTACATAGATTTTGTTAATATCAATTTAAAGCTAAAAAGTGTACGATAATGGTTGAAAATAATTTCCGGCCAAATGCTCCGACCTGCCAGCCGACTTAGGTTGAATAGAAATTTAAGGTAAGCTGTTTCAGGATCAACTTTGTGGGATGGCTCTGTTTGATTCACACAGATTATTTTTGAAACAGATTCAAGTAGATTAGAGATGTCATATATGAGATTTCACCGTAAATCATTTAGATTTGAACAAAGATGATCAGAAATTGCTTTGTTTCCCCGAGTTGCTAGCCAAATTAGGTCAGACAGGAACATGAGCTACGTTGTTTTTCAGAAATGTGTTTGCGGATGGTTCAGTTTAATTCATGTAAATTGAAAACGCCTAATATCAGATTTTACTGTAAATTACATAGATTTGAACAAAATTAAATGGGAACTTGCCTTTGTTTCTCACAACAGCCAGCTAACTTAAGTGGAGCATCTCTCGAAATTTCATCTGCGATGTTGTTCAGACTTTAGATGCTTGATTACCGATGTCTTTGTATATTTTATGTAAATCGACCCAGCATTAAAGTTACATACCAGCATTGATTTATATGGACTCTTTATAAATCGACCCAATTGTTGTTTTTATTGACTAAAGTTTATTTTTTAACTATATGTTATTTACGTCGTAATTAAAATGATAAATATTGTGTGTTAAGTTTTGTAAAGAACCGTTTGGATGAAATCAAATTTGTGAGAGATGGCCGGTATATATTCCAAGTAGATCTAATTCATTGAGATTTCATGTACATATAAGTGAAGCTAATTTTTTGAAGAAAAAAATCTGAAAAGTGTACTTATATGGCTGTCTGTGTTTCAACCAATTTAGAGAGAAAATACTCGGGAGGTGAAAGACGAACTGGTGGGAAGTCTGTAGAAATCTAATCCTAGATGTCTGCATAAATTTGAAGCCATATGCTTTTTTTGTAGTTAGCTGTGTTGCCGATCGGTTTACTGAGAAGATGCTCAAAGTTAGACGACAAAAGGCTAGAAGCTTGAAGAAACCTGAGCTAGAACTGCTAGATCCTCCGTATAATTTATACAATAGTGTTGGGTTATTTTAAATGGGCTGCTTTTTGGAGTTTTTAATTTAAAAGCAAGCAGACAATATGTTACTTTTAATTAGTTGGATGAACACTTCTATATATGTATTGTTTTTATTTAGTACTACATATGAATATTACTCTTTCGCTCCGTCTCATTTTACCTGTTTTATTTTTCTTTTTGGATTGTCCCAAAATAAGTGTCACATTTCTTTTTTAGAAAGAAATATGTGGTCTCCGACATTTCACTTTATTATATTCAAATTTCAACCACAGTTTTTACTTTTATAATCCTTTTATAATAATTATGTATAATCAAAGTAGGAAACATAAATGGAAAAGAGGTAGTACATTTCTTAGAACTTTTTTAAATGATGAGTTTTTTCTTGATGGTTTCTCTATTTGATATAGAAAATTTGAGGGGTGAACCTGTTACGCTTTTCTGAATTGATGATAATTTTCATTTAGAGCCTCCCAATGACAACATGCATAGCCAATCCTAAAAGATATCGCACTTTACCGGAGTCAGATATTACAAATGGTATCATATAATGATTTTTTTACTAAGATAGTTTTCTAGATATTTGAAAATTTTAATTTCAGATTCAATGCTTTTATCAATATATCAAAGTATTTACTTATAAGTTATTGAATGTTTTTTCTTAATAGGGTCTTAGAGTAAATGAGAATTATTTAGATTTGAAGAGGAAAAGTGGAAAACAGCTTCCTTATTTAAGAAGCAAAGGTTTTTACTCGCAAGGGTATGGGTCAACAAATGTTAATTCCAAAGCAATCATTAATTCAGATTTGAAGATGAAAATAGCTTCCTTATTTAAGAAGCAAAGGTTTTTACTCGCAAGGGTATGGGTCAACAAGTGTTAATTCCAAAAAATTCCTTTATCTCACGTCAGATTATTGTTGACGAATTGTGTCTTCGATCCTGGATAATTTTGGGTTGCAGTTTTCAGGGGTTACAAACTTGAAAGGATATAAAATTTTAATTGTAGACATGAAAATAAAACTACAAATGAGATAATAATTGTGGTGTACAAAAACTACATATAGATTTTCTATATGTTATTTTTTATTCTCAAAATTTTCAATGTGTGAGATTTTTCAAATATACATTGTCATAAAGCTTTTAATTGTCTTTTGTTTCATTTTTACATTTACATATTACTTGTGCTAAATATTTTGGCCGTGCATCGCACGGGTGAGAATACTAGTAAAAACAAACTCAGAGCTATCAAGACAGATGTGCGTAGAAACTAGAAAGTCGGGGGAAAACCTGCAATGCACCACAATTGGGCCAAGACTAGGTGGCACAGTAACTAAGTGCTTCACAATCTCACGAACAAGAATTGTGTCCTTTGGAACTCCATGATCAGGCCATGCAGGATACTGAAAGTGCAAGACATGCAGAGGTGGTTCTTCTGACTGCAACAAGTGGGAGAAAGTGTTAGACATATTCACTCCACCGGTCTCAATACAATCTCCAAATTTGACGATTAATATGTGATTTGATGGTGTGCAAAAATAGTAATTGTTCATATGAAAAAAAACTTTCTTGATTCTTGAACAATGTATCAACTCTAATAAGACCATTTGAGTGCCTAACAGTATAAAGTGGTTTTATATCGGAATCTTAAGTGAGAAATCGGGGTCAATTGATATTCTTAAAAATTCAAGAAATCCGAATAATAAAATATCTGTACTGAAAGCTTTCATTTCAGGTAAGTGATCCCTGTACTTGGGTGCTAGGTAAGATCTTACGATCCTAGATTTACGATCATTCACCCCTAGGCCCCTATTGATATTTTCTATAAAAAAAGCCTTGACAACATTGTTCTTTTGTTTGGTGGGCTTTGACACTTTGTCTGGTGATCTTATAATTCAAGACTTCAACTGAGCGTCACACTTGCACACCCTGGGTCAGGAGTATTTGAACTATGGTTTAACAGGCCAATGATGGGTTTCCAAGATATTGGTCACTGACCTCTTTATACCAAACCTTCAAGCAACGCAATATTAAGGAAGAGTCTGTTGTTTTTGTCCATTCTGTGGTGATGCATATATTCCCAAATTCTCTAGTGCCATCTTCTGCCTGAAAATAGTCTCCACACTTCATCTGCCTCAAGATTCACCACCAAAGAGCTCCATATTAGCAAGATAAATATTTTACAAGAAAAAAATACATTAAAGTTGATGTAGGCTTTACTGTGAAGCAGTGTGGTAGCCAATGGGCCCAGCTAAGAAAAATCTATTCATATAAATTTTAATAATAAAAAGGTCTACCAAAAAATAAATGCATAGACAAATATATGATACTCTAAATCTAATGTATCTTAACCCTTTGTTTCAAGTTTCAACTAGCTTTTTACACAACTTTTTGCCATGGGTGCTTAATAATATATGTAGAGTAATTGGACAATACATAGGGTAAATCGGATTTTGTTTCATCTATCCCTTCCCACATAGTTTTGCACTGGAGTCTGCAGGTTATTAAAACATACACCATACATAAACGGGTTTTTGGACCAGATTTAGGTGAGGCTGCGATTGGCCCCTCTTAGCCCTACCCATGCTATGAAATAGTACATAATATATAGAAATGCACGCAAAAATAAAATGCCGAAAATGCATATGCTACATAATCCCTCAGTTCTCTTTTAACTGACGCTTTCAAGAGAGAGAAAAAAATGTTCTAAAATAACTACTCCCTCCGTCCCACTATCTTTGCTCCATTTTACTTTTTCTTCTGTCCTATGTTTGTCTCATGTCATATTTGGTAATATTTGTGTGGTTATAATTCCTTCAGACTTTATTCACACTTTATCATTCCAATGTGAATCCCAAACTTAGGGGACAGAGGTAGTATCACTTTAGAATATTAAAGGAGCATTAATTGATCATTTTCCACCATTAAATATATAGTACTGCTTTTGCCTTGATTTGAGAAAAATGAATTGTTTTCTTAGTGTATGTGCCATAACCTAACTACCATGTTTTGGAACAATTTGCCAAAACCCAACTACCTATTGGTTGTATGAATATACCAAGTATATATTTCAATGTCCAGTAATCAGTACAGCTGAGTACCTTGTAATTGTCAACCAGTTGTGTAAGCATTACAATTGCAGGACAACGGTTTTGGATTACCATTTCCCAGAAATCCTCAAAGGTATTAGGCAATGGACCTTGTGTCGCAATAAAGGAAGACACGTGTTCAGAAATCTACCAATAGAAGCACAAAATGTATATGTAAGCATATCTATTAATAATTTATTAAGAATGAAAAACAATCTAAAAACAATAAACCTAGCAGAAGGATTACTCTGATCAAGCTCGCATTGATATATCCCTTTGCTGGTTGTCTATAGTCTTTACATGGGTTCAATATAATCCTATTACTGTCAACTGAAAATGATGATTGACATATTTATTCAAATGATTAAAAACAGACCAGAAAATTTAAAAGAATAAAGAAATAAAGGATTATCATACATGGCAATACATCAGAATAGCGATTTTTACTGCTGTTTATGTCACACAGAGCTACTGAACATCTATTCCGCATTTCAGCAGCGTTCATCCTATTAGTCTGGAATCAAAGTAACATGTTAGCATGGATTAAAGATATTCCTGATGTCAGAGAAGGGAGAGAGTTGTACCAATGAGAAGAGTCAGAAGAGTATAAACCACATATAAGTTGAAAGAGTTAAAAAATCATTTTGAGTGCATTTAGCTGAAATGACTGAATGTGGTAAATTAACTAAAATTGAGACTGGACTGGTACTTTGGCAGACGTATAAAAAAGTGTATTTCAACTATAATTATTTTACAAACAGTGAAATAAAATAATATCTTCAACTGATGAAAAAAGGTCATTTCCTTGAATTGCAGTTTTTTTAGCAAAAAATTAACCCATTCACAGTTTTTTATATTAAAAGATTCTGCCATTATGCAAACAAATACATTTGTGTTTGCTAGCAAAAACATTGGTACTCCACTGGCACTTGATATGTGACTCACATTATACAGTTGTTTCGAGCATACTGAAGATTAAGGGCCCGTTTGGTGAGGGTGTTTTTCAGCTTATCAGGCTTATTTTGCGGGCTGAATTGTATAATAATAAGAAAATGTAAGGTTGGAGTTACTTTTCTGGTTGTATTGGTTGAAGTTATTGAAGAGGGTCATTTTAACTATTTTATCATATTTTTATTTATTTATTTTAATAATAAAATATATTCTAAATATAATTTTTACATAAATCAGCAGAATCAGCCAATCCAACCACATCAGCCATAACTTCATAAGTTTCAACAAAATCATCCAATTCAGCCCATTTTGGTATTACCAAACGGGCTCTAAGTAATAGCACTACAAATAACACTGTTTTTTTCTAATTCTAGTAGCCATTAGGTGTTTAAAAATGACTAATTGGATATGCAATTATAAACTTTCAAAAAGTGACTTCAACATTATTAAAACCTTTAGAAACAGTAAACCAAATCCTCTATCCTAGAGGCTAGAACAACGCAAAATTCCTAGATCCTAATCCATTGAAATCTTCACAAGAGATTATATATATTTATTCCTTTCTTTTCCATTGGCTCTTACTCTTTGAGTTAATTCTTTTATATTATTTTGAAGCATGCATCTTCCAAACAGAAACTGCTTGTTATTCTTCAACCTCGTCCCCTTTTAGATAATTAGGTCTTACTCTGTTTCTTCCCTAATCACCTACCAATGCCTTCCATTGATAGCTAATTGATGCTGCTTCGAGTGCAATTAGAACTTCAATAGTTAACATGTTAAAAGTTACATTTGTAATTCTGGTAGGTTGCATACTTGAATCTGCTAACTTTAACTACTCCGTACATTATCATCCTCTAAAGTCTAAGCAATGTTAGTGTTTGCATACTGCAATCAGTTAGCTCAAGTACGGCTAAGCTACGCCTTCCATGCTCAAGTTCGAACCTCACAGAAACAAATTAAAGAAGAGAAAATCCCCGAAATATGAGTAAAACATTGTAAGATTCCAAATAATGAGTACTATGCGTTTTCCCTAAACAGGAGTAACTTACTGCCACATCGAAATTTTACAACCACAATTTGGTATTACCAGACTTTGATATGACGGTCTTACCTACATAATCAGCAATAATTAAAACTATTTTGGAATTTCAAGTTATTTTTACTCCTATTTAGGGCAATTTTTTATTAAAGAATCATAAACAAAATTTTGAACTAGAAAAGCAGAACTCCAGATAGAAACTGAAAGGCTCGACATAAGCTTAAACACGAAGTACATTTAAAGAGAGCACTAGAAGAAATGACCTCCAGGATGCCGAATTCCTGACGGATTTTTCCAGGGCTTTGAAACTTTTTCTCTTTGAGTACATTAAGGGCTTCCGAGCAGTAACGAAGCTGATCGGAGGACAGAACGGGCCGTCGCGGAGACCAATCACGTGAGGAATCGTAAGGATTGATAAGGGGCGCAGGAGCCTCGGTGGACGACGCAGCGGTCCCGGAGATGGGGGATAAGGCCGATCTCCGGCTGCGAGTCCGGGTTGAAATGGAAGTACCCATGTTGTTGGATCCCACAGTCGTCTGTGCGTTGTTGAGGGGAAGCCGAAGACCAGCCCAAACCAAAGTTGTGGTCAGGACGAACCAGCGCTACACAAAATAAATGGTGCAGCAGCCTCATCTAGTATTACAAAATAAATGGTGCATCTAGTATTACAAAATAAAATGATAGTAGGAACTTAAAAATGGCTGTCTAGCTATTTTGAAAAACAGCTTCTGGTCCCACATCTTGCATGATCCAACTTCCAAAACCCCAACTTCCCGCACTCACTCCATCCACTACCAGTCGAAATCGATTTCAACAGAGCACTGTGTTTAGGACACAAGCATTCTTCGATTTCACACAAGTATTCTTCGATTTCTACTTCGACCATTCTTCCATCTCCTTCAAGAACCATGAAGTGCAAAACTCCTACGATTCCTCTGGTGAAAACCCAAGCAAGATGGAGACTTGTGAAAGCATCAGAAGTGATGGAAGCCGCAGATGAACCCGATATTCAGGTAAATGTTAGATTATTTATGCTTGAGAACGATACTTGATTCTTTAGAAAGTGATGGAGTATATGGCCCGGGAACCCCCGGCCCACAGACTCCTACTACTCCAGCAAAGGCCCAACAGGCCCAAAAGGCCCAACAGGCCCAATTCACAGCGCCCGGAGTACCAAGCAGTCCGCACAACGCACAGGGGTGCCTTCGGCCCCCTGGCCGAAGGCTCCAAATTCTCACAGAACGGGTTTCTCAAGCAAAACTAAGAAACTGGGAGAAAACGGCGAAAACAGCAGCCCTCGGCACTGTGAGCCCTCGGTACCAGGGGTGCCATCGGGAGGAAGAGCCCTCGGCTACTTCTCTATAGCCGAAGGCATCTCACTCGACAAGATATTCGCCTCACATGCGTACAGATCACCGTATTCTGCACAGACGTCCCATCCAACAGCCGCATTAAATGCGGCCACATGCGGCTGCCAGCGCCAACCAGTTGAGGTGACCCCTCGGCCAATGAGCGCTTGACACGTGTCCCTGCCCGGCATTTATTGCTACTATAAATAGCACCTCATTTCCCCATTTGTAACCACGCTGAAAACGCTCCACATTGATAATACACTCTCTCTATATATATTTACTTGCTCTGGCTTCTCTCTAAAGTTATTCCCCGTAGTGACCCTTCGGATATATACCCCCGGGTAGACTATCCATCATTTGGTGCTCTCGTTGAGAGCTCGAACGATCAAGTAAGAAACCCTCCCCCTTCGCCAAACACTAGCCCTCTACCAAAATGGTGAGAACAACACGTGCCAACTCCAAAAACGTAGAAGACAAGAACCTGGCCCTCGGCGACGTCAACGCCCTCGAAGCCTCTCACAAGGCTCCCGAGGGCGGTGTCATCGCTGGGCTGGAACAGGCGGCTGTCGACCTGCGCCTTCAGATCCAACAGAATGCCCCCGATGCCCGCCTCGGCATCGAGGCCAAGAAGAAAAACCGGAGCGATGACCAAGTCAGTCCTCCGGTCCTCACCATCGACGTTCATTCGGCACTCTCCGCCTTCATCCAGACGTTAGCTCAGAACCCGGGTGCCTTCGGCACCCTGGCTCCGGCTCAACCCCAGGTTGGGGAGAACATCGTACTTCCCCCTCTGCCACACCCCTTCGGAAACCCCATCCCTCGGGTGAGAAATGATGAAGGGGTGGTGGCCTAAGATACATCCTCCCAGGAAGTTCAGTCCCGGGACCGCCATAATGACAACAGGGAGAGGCCCCGTACTTCCGCCCTCAACCGGCTCGGAGGAGGGGCAGACCGCCGAGGGGTCCAAGACCGCCTCGGGGGGAAAGCACTCCAAAGGCCCCAGGAAAGCGGGGGATCTGTTTCGAGGGCAGACGAGGAGCGTCCCCCTCGGGACAAAGGCAAGGCACCCCTTCATGCCGATGATACTCGACACCAAATCAACCAGGCCCACTCGGCCCGGGTTCGTTCGCAGGGGGCGGAAACCCTCCCGAGGGACCCCCGGGACGAGATTATTGCGGCCCTCCAGCGCCGGCTTGACGAAATGGAGTCCAACAAAGCTCACGCCACCACCTCCACCCCTCACTCAGATCTCAAATATGAGGCCATGATGGCCAAGATGGAGGAGTTACAGAAGAAGGTGGCCGAGGGCTCCGGGGAACCCGTCATCCAGCTCCGGACTCGGACGCCATTTACCCCAAGGGTATTGGCGGCCCGGATCCCGGAGAAATACCGAAGGCAACACATACAGCCCTACAGCGGAAAAATGGACCCCCAGGAGCATTACAGCAAGTACCAGAACAGCATGATGATGGTGGGGGCATCAGACGAATATTTGTGTCGTTGGTTCCTCTCCACCTTAGAGGGGCCAGCATATGAGTGGTTCAACAGGCTTCCCGAGGGCTGTATTGATTCATGGCAAGAACTCGCCCAGCGGTTCTTAACACAATTTGCCGGGAGGCGTCGCACAAGGAAGCACTTCTCCCACCTCCTAACGATACGCCAGAGGAAGGATGAGACCCTTCGGGATTTCCTGGAGCGCTGGAGGACGGAGGCCGACAAGGTCGACGGTGCTGATGACGGGACCCTCCTGGCCCTCCTACAAACCGTCCTCCGCACCGGCAACTTTTCAAGGAGCCTCATCATTGAACCCCCCCGCGACTACATAAGGGCCTTGCAGCGGGGGACCGATATGCTGAGGCCGAGGAGGTGGAGAAGTATCACCAGCATCCGGACCACCAGCCCCCGAGGGCTGACAACAAGCACAACCGAGGGCCGGGGGCTCCTCCAAATCGCCCCAAGGCTTCGGGGCCCTCTGATGACCGCCCTCGGCAAGGCCAAGCCAAGCCCGGGGGAGGTTATAGGAGCAACCCTAAGACTTGGGCCCAGCCCATTCTCCTGGACCGCCCTCGGACCCCATTGACGCACCCCGTCAGCATCATCCTCGATTTTGCAGAGGAGAAGGGCCTCGTTGAACGCGATTCTCGCGCACCCCCGGAGGTACACGCTATCAACCCTCAGTTCCCCTACTGTCGCTTCCATCGACACCAGGGGCACAGGACCGATGACTGCCATCAACTGAAGACGGCCATCGAGAGATTAATACAAGCAGGGCACCTGTCCCAGTTTGTCCAGAGCCCTCGGCAGGAGGGACCTTCTCATCAGGGGCCTCCCCGAGGGCATCACACGAAGGTAAACGCTTGGGTAAACCCGAATACCATCCCCCTCGGCAAGAAAAGGGAGATTGGAAACTTGGAAGAAGAGGAGGAGGAATACCCCCACTACCAGGAGAAAAAACGCCACATCCTCATGATCACCGGTGGCAACACAGGGGGCGATTCCACCAGCCAGCGAAAGAAGTGGGCTCAATCGCTTTACGTAGGGGAAGTCACTCATATGCCCCCGGTAAAGCGATTGAGGGAGGAACCCATCACCTTCACCAACACAGATCTCCCTCCTACTTCTTCCCCTCACCGGGATGCCTTGGTGATTCGAACGGAGATCAACGACACCATCATTCACCGAACTTACGTTGACACGGGCAGCTCCGTCAATGTAATGTACCTCAGCACCTTCAGAGAGCTGCATCTGGAGAGGGGGTCCCTTCGGCCCATTAAGACCCCTCTTGCCGGCTTCACCGGTGACACCATTGATTCCGAGGGGGTAATAACCCTCCCGGTGATCTTCGGCGACGGGTTCCATAGAGCCCAGCTCGAGGTAGAGTTCGTCGTCGTCAACATTGACTGCGCCCACAACATCATCCTCGGCCGGCCAGCCCTCGAGGACCTCGAGGCCATCATCTCCATGAGGCACCTCTGCCTCAAGTTTCCCGCCGATGGGGGCATTGGCTACTCCCGGGGGAACCAAAAAATTGCCCGTGCCTGCTATCTTCAGGTCACTAAGAAGGTAAGCAAGACGGAACTCCGTGTTGACACCATCACCGGAGCCGTCGACCAGGAGGAAAGAAGGCCGAGGGCTGAACCGGCCGAGGACGTAGAAGACTTTGCGCTCGATCCGGCCCAACCGGAGAGAGTCGTGAAGATTGGAGCCCAGCTCCCTGAAGATTTGAAGACCGGTATCACCGACGCCCTCCGCACCTACTCCACTGTCTTTGCATGGGGGCCGGAGGACATGCCGGGAATTAGCCGAAGGGTCATCACCCACCGCCTCTCGGTGGACCCCTCGGCAAAAGCAGTGCAACAACGAAGAAGACCCCTCTCCGCCGAGAGAAGGGAATTTGTGAAGAAGGAGGTCGCCATGCTCCTCTCAATCAAGCACATCAAGGAGGTAAAATACCCCTCATGGCTAGCAAATGTAGTCCTCGCCCAGAAGCCCCCTACCTTCCGCATGTGCGTGGACTACACCGATCTCAACAAAGCATGCCCCATGGACCCATTCCCTCTACCAAACATTGATCAATTGGTGGATGAGACTGCGGGGTGTGAAATCATGTCCTTCCTCGATGCCTTCCGAGGGTACCATCAAATATTCATGCACGAGGAGGACGCCGAAAAAACTGCCTTCATGACTCCCGAGGGCATCTTCTGCTACCTAGTGATGGCCTTCGGCCTAAAGAACTCAGGGGCCACTTACACCCGGATGGTGGCCCGGGTCTTTCAAGCCGTCCTAGGGCGCACCATGGAGGCCTATGTCGACGACATGATCGTCAAGAGCAAGCAATCTTCCAGTCATGCTGACGACCTCCGGGAAATTTTTGCCATCATGCAAAAATTCAACCTTCGGCTTAACCCGAAGAAGTGCACCTTCGGCGTCCAAGGGGGCAAATTCTTAGGCTACATGGTGAGCCGACGGGGTATTGAGGCCAATCCCGAGAAGATCTAGGCCATCATCAACATGGAGCCCCCACGCAATGTAAAGGAAGTTCAACGGTTGACGGGCCGCCTGGCAGCCCTCAACCGTTTTCTATCTAAATCGGCGGAGAAGTCCCTACCCTTCTTCCAGATCATGAGGAAGACGGCTGGCTTTCTATGGACTCCAGAATGCCAGGGGGCTTTCGACGAGCTCAAACGGTATCTATCTTCACCCCCTGTGCTCTCCAAACCCAAGGTAGGGGAGACTCTTTACCTCTACCTTGGGGTCAGCCCGGCGGCCATCAACTCTGTGCTCATCCGGGAGGAAGACGGCATCCAGCATG